TGATTGGGCAGCGTACCGAGAGACAATCCCCTACTCTTCTCTGAAGAGTGTACTGCGTTTTTTAATGTGCGCATGGGCCATAAATGCACGCTGGACCAAACGTCTCATCCGAAAGACGGTGCGCTATTTTAACTTGTAGGCCTATTTCAGCCCTCCAACTGAAACACTATAGGAGGTAGCAATGCGAATTGAACCGGGGTACCAGGAGATCTCCACAGTTCAGCGCACACACAGTGGCTACCCACCAGATTAGCCGACTGAGCTAAGCTGCTGTCTATAATTGAGCCATGCAGGAAGAAAATATTTTCTTCTTCCATGATTGAGCTAAGCTGCTCTCTCTAAATCTAAGAAATGATAATCTTAAAGGAGTGAATTGGCTCTGAAAATTTTATTCCCAGGCGAGTTTTCCATATGCTGGCACGTACGTGCAGTTTTAAATGACCAATTTATTTTGTTTGAAGTTAACTGGGAAGTAACATACATAGTTTATCTACATTATTAGCCAAGTGAGTATGTTTATCACTACCATTTCAGTTTCATAGTCGGTTCCTGTAGCGCAAAGCATTAAACATATTAAATATGATAAGGAAAATCTCTTCTTTGTTCAAGTGTTTGCTATGACAAAGCCTGAATGATAATCACCCCTTACAATAATCATGGAGGAAATATATTAATATATTTCCTCCATGCATTAATATAGACAAAATTGTTTGTCTTTGTTTGTGGCTTCTACATCTTCTTCACGACCACATTCCGCTACATTTTAAGGCTGGATATTGGATAACAACTGAAAAAAACAGCCAAAAACCACCGAAAATCAGTACCTGTTTCGCCATGTTTCGTAAGTTGCTTACGTCACGTAAATACAATTAATCGCATCTATTCTGTACTGCAATGGTTAGGTCTAAAAATTATCCAGTCAGGCCGTAAAAGAACCAGTCTATGTTTCACAGCTTCAATACGGATACGTCACCGCCCAGTACTTCTTACGTTTCGTCAACAAAATGGGTGACAAGGATGTTCCCGTACCTCTTCGAAGTACCCATTGCATTATTTATACTAGATATATTACAGTTTTATGACACAAAACGTACAGTAAAGTAGCCTACATCTGTCTTCAAGGTGTCTAGATCAAGTTGAGATCCAATCATAGAACAGGATAGCTCAGAATGTTGAGCATTTTCAACAGGCATAGGATGAATTAATAAATTAACACGTAGACTGCCAGAACTTTTTTATTTAGGTTTTGTCCTGTATGCCAAAACAAGTAAACAAAACTTGTACAAACATACTTTCTTGAAATGTTATCTAATCACTTATCAAATGGGCATGTTTAATAAATTGGCGGGAAAATATTAGCGGAGTAAAGTCGTCACTTGCAATGGGACAGTTACTTTCTATTGCCTCTGCCAAGTACAAGTTTTCTCGTCCACTTTCTGCATGGGTAGATGATATATATCAATCAGATACAATATATGTATGTATATACTGTATAGTTCAGTATATAATAATAATAATACTAGAAATTGCAAATTGCAAGTGAAGTGCTGCAAAGTACAACTGCATATAAATGTTCTTTGAACAAAATTATTTATGCGAGTCAAGTGAAAATAATGAATAATAAAAATATAACAAATATTATGAAACACGACTATTGTCTATATTAGAACACTTCTCATTGGGTAACAAAGTCGTAATTTTTCATTTTTGTCAAAAAGTGTCTATAGTGGTGAATTATTGTTTAGGTTTTTTTAAATAAAGTTTCAAAAATTTCTATATATGTGGAAAATGTAGTTGATTACCAAAGATTACAATTTTTATTTTGAAGACTGCATGGTCTAGGAAGTGTACATTTTTTTTATGGGGAAAGTTTCCAAGGGCGGGTTTTCTAGGGGCGAGTTGACTGTCAAAGAGTGTTGCCAAAGTGCGAGCCAGTGTGTTATTTGATCACAAGTGCGAGACATCGCAAGTGTGAGCCAACGAGCCATGACGTCAAGACAATATATACGAGACGTTACTCGAGTTGTGCGAGGTATCAGCTGAGATTTGTGGAGTACAATTCAAAAAACAACTATAGGTCTAATAATGAATTATTGTGATATTGTTAAATAAAATAGACAGTGTTAGCTATCAAGGAGCAACGTTGTTTTTCATTGGGACCTTCGTCCCTTCAAGGCTAGGTCTACACCATCCTAGCTAGTCTAGGCCTAGAGTAGGATAAGGCTAGCTCGACATGCGGACGTTGGTACGTGTTGTTAGTCTACAAACGTCGCCTAAAGTAATTGATTTTACCCGGCAGAACGAAAGAAGGAAACTCCGCTTTTCAGTCGTCTTAAGCCCTTGTTTTTTGACAAACAATGACATTTCAGAGGTCAAATTGCTGTCAAGAATATAATAATAATAATAATAATTTTGGCTTATATAGCGCATTATGCTAAAGCCTCAATGCGCTTAACAGTAAAAATAAAATTCGGGAAAAAAAAATTAAGAAAAATACAAGTTAATTGGCTGCTTCGCAGCAATTATTTCCAGCCCCGAAACCTAGACTTAGAAATACAGGGATGGTGTCCGGCGGGGAATAGTTTTACTTCCAGATTAATTCTGGTAATACATTTTTTCATATATCTATATTTATGTACTGTATAGTTTTTATTATATTATAGTTTGCGAAATTGTATACACCATTGAAGCCCGTCACAAATTGCGCCAACATTTTGTCGGACAATGCAATTACTCTGAGAATGCAAGCACAATAAGACTTTTTTTATGACTTATTTATTTATTTATTTTTTTAATTTTTTTTTTTCATTTTTTTTCCGAATTTCAATTTCAGAATTGTGGATCAAAGGTCATCTGAAAAATTTATAATTTTTCGGGTTGTTGTGTATTAAGGCTACATGACCAATGTTATTTGCAGTAAAAATTTACAATCAAAATGTACACTATTTTTTAGCATTTACCAAATTTCACAGAAATATATGGCAAAAAGTGACAGATATTGTTAACATGCAACTTGCTATTCATGTGCTCAGAAACTTCAAATGTTTATAAAACTGTAACCAGTGGCTCAATTTTCCTCAAATGAAGATTTTTATGATACAGAATGAGTAGTTTTTTTGTGCTATTTTTTTATATTCAACTTTGAATTTATCATGTGGTGCCTAACATTGTAATTATGTAAACATGTCGGGACAATGTTTACGGGTTCATTTGAATGTCAGTAGTTCGGATAAGTCTTATATGGATCCACCTTGATTCAAGAAAATCACTTCTCTCATGCCCAACTAGATTAGACTGCTGTATATTTCTGTATTTTCACTTACAAGATAGCCCAAAGCAACAGGGGAAGATCCAGTAGGTGAGAGGGACGTCACTGGGAAGGGCTCCTGCCCCATTTTGTCACTAATTTTTAAAAAAATGTCAATGCAGTATGTGTGCTATTCGCTTATTAATTTATTCTGAAACTGTTGTGTTCACCCCCTCCCCCTTTGACACATTCTGGATCTACCCTTGATCACACTGCACAATAATTCCTCACAAGGACTACAGTGTGCAGCAAAGACACTCATAACATTAACTACAAAGACGTCCTTCAGAAAAATAATGACATGGTAACCATAACATCTAGAACGATTGCCTCCTCAACTTCCCCATTCAACATTGTGCATGATTGCCACCTTTCCCGACTCATTCAACACCGTGCGGAGCACGTGTATATATGCTAGTTATTTTATAATCACAAGTGTATTCATATTGTCTTTCAGATTCAGCATCTACAGCAACACCAAGCACAACCAGAATTGAAACTGACCCTGTGCTAACTACCACACAACACCAAGTCACTGCATCACCTATGCCTACTACGATACCAAACACTGTTGATTATGGGCATAATAATACTACTACAATGTCTCAAACAAATGCAACAACAGAAATTCAAACATCGACCTATAGTAACACAACACAGTCACATGTCACACCAACTGATACTACGAGAGCTGACATTGCAACAACAGATATACGACTCTTTTCCACCAATATAATGACATCGGTACCAACAATAAACACAAATTACAAAATAACAACAAACGATTCAGGCACATCACAGCCAGTAGTCACAACATCATTTAATAACGTAACAAGTAATACTGGAAATTCTGATACTACTGCAGTAACTAATCAAACAACACACACAACAACAATACAGTTTCTAATCACCTCAACTACCAACATCACAACTGCTATACCAACGACAGTAGAGTCGGTATTCGGTACAACAGATCTACCAAAGATACCCTCAACACACAATACCAGAACTTCAGTAATAACGAATGCCACGGACACGACAGATTCTGGCACTCAAATGCCAACTACGATGTCGAGCATTGACGATTCCAATCAAACTTTCTCAACACCAGATTCCACTATTGATGCAGACATTTCATCGACTTTCTCAGCTATTACAACTCAGCAGAGATTCATTTCTGATACTTCTACAATAACTAATCAAACAACAACAATAACAGAGCTACCATCAACACGCAATATCAAAACCTCGGCAATAACGAACGGTAGGATCACTCACGATTCTGGCACTCAAATTTTAACTACGATTTCGAGCACTGCAGATTCCAATCAGACTGTCTCTACACCGTTTAATGACGCTTCAGTTTCTATAAAGTTTACATCATCGCCAATATATACCGAGACGACAACTAATGGTCAGTGTGCTTCCTTGTTATTAAAATCATATTATTGATTGGATGTCAAATTATCAAAGTGATAGGTATGGCACTTTACCCTCTGAGGATAGCGCCCAAAATGTAAACGACATATTGTTTACTATAATTGTAATATAATTTCGGATAATATTTGAGCCGCTTCAAGTTTCTTTTCTATTCTTCCTTCTTTCGGTTCAAACTATTTTGCATTCATTACAACATTAATAAACGTAGGGCCTATAGGCACTAGGTCTAAAACGTTCATAAACTTTACGTGCATTGTATACTCAATTTAAAAGAATTCGATTTTTCTAAATCCAAAGGTGAAGTTAGCTGATCTTAGCCCCTCTAAAGCCACTAATAAATAGGCTCGCTTCACAAAGGCTACTACAAATGGATGTCTTGTTGTAGAGCAAGAAATTTTGTTGTCCTTACCCAGTACCACCTAATTATAAATCGACGTTAAATTGACCAATAGTTTAAATTATTTTTTTAAAGAATTTCCTGTGAAAATAAACTTTTCTTCCAAATTCATTGGTCATGAAAAATATTCACTGGTTTATATCAAAGATGAACAAAATGGCTAAATCAGTGAATTCTGTTATGTTGTTATCTCAATTGTATTCATGTTATCTTTTAGATTCAGCTTCTACCGGACCACCAGGCACAACCAGAATTGAAACTGATTACACTACTGTTGTAGACGTTTCATCAAATTATTCAGATATTACAACTCAGCCAAGATTCACTTCACCAACGAACACCATAATTTATGAACACAACACTACAACAACACTTGCTCAAAATAATTCTGATACTATTACTACTACAACACCAATTATTGTAACGACAAATCCAAGTTCTAAACTCATCACCACCAGTGCGACACAGCCTTATGTAGCTACAACAATTGTTGCAACAACAGAGAATGGAGATTCTGAGCATACTACCGCACAACATCAAGTCAGTACATCACTTAGGCCTACTACGATCCCAATCACTGTTGGTTATGAATTTAACACTACTACAACATCATTGCGAACAAATGTCACAACACACATTCAAACTTCAGAATTTTCGACTCACAGTGTCACTTCAAAGTCACGTGTCACTTATACTACAAAACCTAACATTGCAACAACGGATGTAACGTCTACTGAAGCGGCAACTACGTCGGCAAAAACTACCACACATTACAATAAAACCACCCATCTGCCAACAACTGAGTCAAACTTCAGATCGACTACCGAACAAAATACAAACATCACAACGCTGTCTAGATTGCCTACACACGAGACAACAACGTTGAATTTGCTTCCCAAGACGACAACAGGTTAGAATTTACTGTACTCTTGAGAAATTATATATGGAAATCTAAGTATAATGAAATTAAAATTAGTTAAGTTCTTTATGATAATTACATGTTTATAATTATTACATAATATTCCATCAGGTAACACTCCGCCAACAATCGTATGCCCCAGTGACATATCATCTACGGATACGTCACCTGATTGGGAATTACCAATCGTGAGTGACGATGAAGCAGAGGTCGACTGTACAAAAAATCCTGGCGATGAGTACCAGGTTGGATCTATTACAAAAGTCACGTGCACTGCCATAGATTCTGTTGGGCAAGTGGGTAGCTGCTCTTTTTACATAACTGTCGGTGAGTTTAATTATGTAATATTAAGGTTTTCATTTTTGTTTTGTTACTTGGAACACAATGGCCAAGGGCATTTAATCGCCCAAATAAAATACATTCAATATAATTAGAAAGCACGATAATCTTCTCAATGTTCAAAAAACAGATAAGGATATATACATAAGCTGTGTTAATATCAGTAACAGATATTAACCGACTTAAATTAAATTAAGATGGTTTAACAATAAAATATTTGTATACATAATCTTCCACTAAATTTAAAGTACAAGGTTTGCTTATTCTATCGTCTTCCCTAAATGTAATTTGGTCATAATTCGTCTAAAAGTGAGTGTGAGATCAGCAGTCTTCCTTCCCTGTATAGTCAAAAGTCTTTAGCAAATTAAATTGACATCTATAAACGTCCTATTCATGTCAAAATAACTTTATTCAAAATATCATGGCAACACAAAGCTGAATTGAGATAAAATGTACAAATAGCAAAATATGAATAAAATAGACTAAGATAATAAGTTAAAAGATAATAAAAAAAGATTTATAACAAATTTTCACAAAATCACAGACTAAACAAAGAACTGAACAGTGAGCCGACTGTGCACTAGTGAGACCAGAGTTCCACACAGGCGCATACTCCAAAAGAGGGCGGGTATAAGATTTACAAATGCAGATCAAATTATAGTGACCCAAGCCAGCTTGTTTTAGTTTCCTAATCATGAATAATTTTTTTGTAAGTAGAGCAATAACACAGTGTGACCAATATTGTGAATTATTATTATTACTGATTAATTGAGGATTAATTAATTTGCATGTAGTAATTTAGGTCAATCAAGAATCTCTTATACTGGTTCTAAATTGTGGAATTCCTTGCCATTTGAGTTGAAAGAGACAACCTCAAGAACAAATTTTGTTTGATTTATAAAATATTTTTCAATAGAAGTTGTCAAGATTTTTGTTTATTCGAGAGTTCAAAGTGTAAGTAACCCGGATGCAAAATCAAATGAGGATCAGAATGATATATAGACAGTATAGAGGCCGAAATCCACGTATGTGTCGCACTAGTGCGCCTAGGGCATTCAACGGTAAATTTTTCGCTGTCGCACTATTGCGCCTACGACACGATAAGGGTTAAAGACATTTTGTTTAATGAATATTAAGAATGATGCCTTTTACATTTCTTTTTATACTATTAATTTATATTGTATCATATGTATTGTATTAATGTTTAATTTGAATGGGGCTCAAGCTCGATTAGCTTTGACTTTTTTTCTTGGCTCCTATTGCATACTACCATACCTGTATTCTTTTTGTTCTTTTGTATGCAATAAAGAGAAATAAATAAAGTATAATAGGAAGAATCGTACGAATTATATCGTATTATTTCATGTTGTTTTAGAAACTGTCCTATCGGAAGAAATCGCGAACCTTACTAAGGTACGTAGGAATATCATCAAAACAGTTTACTACTTAATGCTTATTGCAAAAAGTGTTAGTTTGATACCCATTTTAGTATTAAACAATGAATGATCATCAAACTCATCGTCCTTATGATCATCATCTCATGTAACCAGCTGGCTGTTTTGTAGATATTATGAGGAGTGATGTCCTCAACAAAAACAAAGTTGGCGTGGTCGGGCGTCGATTAAAATGTTTTGAAAAGTGGTTGAGAAAAAAAAGATATGACAATGTAGGAGTTTCAAAAGCTTATCGATTTTATAGATAGAGTATACTAGCATGTAGAAAATAGCTTTTTTTCTTCCTGACGAATTGTGGTTTTCTCCCCCGACAGGGTGTAGGGGAGCTCTCTCTGACCGACGGAGGGCCAGGGGGCGCCACCACTGTGTGTCTTACTAGCCATCCTGCCTATTCCCATTGTTTCGTCATTAGGTACATGAAATCCGTCTATGTATTCTTGAATGAATCTGTCATCAACATTTGTTAATTATTCTAAATCTGTCACATATACAAGAACTTAATAATTTTCCAATAAGTATTCTATTCTTGTCATTTTGTTAGAACGTTAATGATGAAAATGTTGAAGAGGTAGCAATAGAACTTGAAGAAATCGTAGAGAAGGCGGAACTGGAACCAGCTGATGTACAAGAAGTCTCAAATGCGTTGGAAACTATAGCCAACACCGAATCTCCGAACGAAAATGCAAGTAAAATTTTTTTTTTATGATAGATTCAACTGGATAAAAATCAAACCAGCTTTTTCATATTCTCCATGTTATTACTTTTGTTGAAGTTTGCTTCTTCTTTATTTTGGTTGATAAATTATTTTGTTCAATTAATTAATTAATCAAACTCACTTCAATTTACAGCGACCTGCTGCAAAAACAATTCCCATAGATCACAGTGGTGATACTTACTTTAAATGATACGGATGCAGGTACGCATCAAGTGAAGAAGAGGGCGACTCTCATTTTCACCATTTAATCAAATTTCTCTTTATTATTCCGTTGTCCTGTAGGTGACAAGTGCAGTCGTAGGTACGGTGGACGCTGTAATTGCCTCTGACTCTTCAGATTCTGATTTGCCACCTGAAACGACAGCTTTAATCCTTGAGTCATTCGAGCAGCAAATTAGCACCGCCGCTACTGATGGTCAGAATTACACCCAGGATGAAGATACAGTGTCTGTGCGGACTTTAAGTTTTGATTCAAATCTTAATTATGATGTTGTATTCGTAGTAAATGAAGACAAGACGCCTGACATATGTTTTGATGAAGTTTGTTCGTCAAACGCCAAGAGTCAGTCTGTCACACTTCCAAAGGATCTCCTATCATCAAACGGTTTGTTGATATAAATACATCCATGTTGTACTAATACTACTACTATTACTACTGCTGCTGCTGCTGCTACTACTACTACTGCTACTACTGCTGCTACTGCTGCTACTACTACTGCTGCTGCTGCTACTGCTTATTCGCTGTTACTGATTCTACTACTACTCCCACTACTACTACACAACAACCACCGGTACTACTACTACTACTACTACTACTACTACTACTACTACTACTACTACTAATAATAATAATAATAATAATAATAATAATAATAATAATAATAATAATACTAACTACTACTACTACTACTACTACTACCACTGCCACTGGCACTGCTGTTGCTGCCACGTCTACTACTTCTAACGCTACTGATAACAACTAATTCTGTGTAACTAAATACAGTTAAATGAAATAATTAAGAGAGAAAGAGTACAAAGAAACTTAAGTTGGCTTGTCTATGTTTTCTGTCTTTAACAAAATACTAAAAGCAAAACCAAAGCATTCATAAACGCAGATTTCCAAATTCAAATAAGTAAATGGTCAATGCTACACATGAAATTATTTATATAGAAAAACAAGTACCTAGCAAAATGTTTTTAGTGAGCAGATATTGTTTATTTTTTGCTTTGTAGTTACACATTGTGTTGCATGTCAATAATATAATTGATGCGTTTGTGGTCCCAAAATGGAGCCTTGTGGTGCGCCAAGATTTATCTCAAAAGTATATGATTTGCTACTTTTAAGGGATACGTACTGTACATGAATTTAGATAGCTCTTGAACCAGTTGAGAGCGATGCCCTGTACTTTATAATGGGCTAACCTACTAATATTATTATCTCATGATCTAATAGGTCTAAAGCTTTTCTTAAAGTCCATAAAAGAAGTAATCATGCACTTTTTATTTTTGAACGCTCTTAAAATATTACCAATAAGATGATGAATTGCATTGGCGGTAGAATGGTTTTGTCTAAATCAGTAATAGTGGTTACCTATGACACCATGCTTAGGTAGGTGCACGTTAAGCCTTTTGAACATTATATTTTCAAGGATTTAAAAGAAAAACTGGTAAAATAGAACTTGGTCTGTAGTTAGGCAAAACTACACGACCACCCAACTTGAACGTAGTTGTATTATGGAATTAGAAATGATTTTGACTGCTTTAGGAGATATTTCATTTTGTGAGATTAATTCTTCTGATATTATCCCAAACATAAATACAAAAGAAAAATTGTCAGAATTAGTATGAACAAGAACTAGCTTAGGTTTAAAAAATGAATGATCATTCCCAACATTTTAAAATTACATTGGCTTATGTAGACAGTGGTAAATATAATTTCTTTATTTCTTTATATACACAGAGGGCCGGACAAACATCAGTTTTACTTCGTTTTACAACCCAAACCTGTTCCAGTCGGGTACAGCTGAACGGAATCTCTCTAGTGTGATTATGTCAGCTACCATTTATAACGAAAGTCTCCCAGAGGTGTTCCAAAACCCAGTTGAACTTGTGTTCAAAGTACCAAAAGTAAGTACTCTTACCAGACATAAAAAAAGAAAAAAAATTAGTCGTTATGCATAATAATTCTGACAATTTTCGTATTGTCTTGTATTTGCAACGTAGCCAATGCAATAGTTACAGTAGTATGAAATAGTTGTACAGGTAAAGTTAGCAGAAAGTTGTTTGAAATATTAGCGGTTCTACTAGTAGAAAAACCGAAAGGTCCACTGATTAATCTCGGATAAGATAGTATAATTAATACATACTCCAAGTATCGAAATTCACGCGCATCGTGTCGTACACGATGGCGTGCATTTCGATACTTGGAGTATGTATTATACTATCTTATCTACTAGTAGAAGTAGTACAGTATTTGTATTTATTTATTATATTAATAAACTACTCTTATTGGTATTGCTTTGTGTGTTTCTTTCCGCAGTCTTATTTAAACAGCAATCCTTCTTGTGTTTTCTGGAATGCAACCTTAGATGGAAATGGTAATTGGTCAATTGAAGGCTGTAAGCATATCGAGACAGGCAATGAAGGCAGTGTAACGTGTCATTGTACACATTTAACAAACTTTGCTGTCTTGTTTGTGAGTTTTATTTTATTTATTATATTTGATTTATTTTATATATATATAATATATATTATATATATATATATATAGAGAGAGAGAGAGAGTTTAAAAATTAATTAAAAAAAATATATCGTCACTCACATTACGCTAACACAATCAAATTAGATTGTGTTAGTTCGTGAAATCACAAAAGCGCGTTAAAATACGCGCAGTTGTTGTTACGGACTTTTTGTGTGATAAAGAATACGAAAGAGCCTGACAACCAATAAGCGCTCGTTTTGATGCGCTACTGTGATTTCACAAACTAACACAATCTACTATTGTGTTAGTTTGTTATTTGATGACGATATATAGGACATAGAAAACTCATAGGATAGGACAATAGATGCTAGCACTGCTCGAGCACCTGTGAATTCTGTGTTGGCCGGCCTCTGTGTCTCAAGTTGCTGGTGAACGGTGCGGCTGTTCTAGACTCTCTGCTTTTAGGTTTTCCGTTCTTCCAGTTATTTTTTAGATTAGATTAAGGATATTTCATGGTTTATATACTCTGTTGTGGACATCTGTTTTCAACTTTCAGATCTAAAGTCTGAAAGTTGAAACCGGAATTTTTCTAGTTGGTTGCTTTTTATTCCAATTCTTGGAATTGCTAATTACTATTATTATTATTTATTATTATTATTATTATTATTATTATTATTATTATTATTATACATATAATATTTGTATATTTTACATTTTGTAGGCCTATCATTTTTATTTTGCAGTTTCCTAATGAAATTCCGCCTGGAGTTGACATATTTCTAGATTTGGTGACCTATATCGGCTGTGGAGTGTCAATTGTATGCTTGTTATTTACTGTAGTCACTATTCTTTCAATACCGTAAGTTGAAGTACATCAACAAGCAAGTCACGTTTAACATATCTAGAATGTTAACACAAGGATGTT